TAGGTAACCGGAGTTGCAAATGAAGCCCGGGATTTGAATTTCCCGGGCTTCATTTGCATCTCGCCGGGCGCCACCATTTTTAAATGTCCGCTAGTGCGGACTCCGTGCCGTGTGTAGCCGCGCGGCACGGAGTCCGCACTAGCGGACATTTAAAAATGGTGGTGCCCGGCGAGATGCAAATGAAGCCCGGGAAATTCAAATCCCAGGCTTCATTTGCAACTCCGGTTGCCTACATTACCACCCTAGTTCGAACTAGGATGGTAGTGTATACATACCCTTCGTTATTCACGTACACTACATAAAATAGGATACACTGCGATTGTTTTTCTCTTTTATCTGCAGGATCTCAAGAAACAGTTTAGTTTTACATTGAGTTAATTGTCTTAATTGTTTTGCCTTTTAAGAAACATGCATTTATATATTACTCTTAGGAGAAAACACATCTGAATCATAAACATCACAACACGAAGGCTACGTCTACACTGGCCCCTTTTCCGGAAGGGGCATGTAAATTTCACTAGTCGTCGTAGGGAAATCCGCGGGGGATTTAAATATCCCCCGCGGCATTTAAATAAAAATGTCCGCCGCTTTTTTCCGGCTTTTAAAAAAGCCGGAAAAGAGCGTCTAGACTGGCCCCGATCCTCCGGAAAAAGCGCCCTTTTCCGGAGGCTCTTATTCCTACTTCAAAGTAGGAATAAGAGCCTCCGGAAAAGGGCGCTTTTTCCGGAGGATCGGGGCCAGTCTAGACGCTCTTTTCCGGCTTTTTTAAAAGCCGGAAAAAAGCGGCGGACATTTTTATTTAAATGCCGCGGGGGATATTTAAATCCCCCGCGGATTTCCCTACGACGACTAGTGAAATTTACATGCCCCTTCCGGAAAAGGGGCCAGTGTAGACGTAGCCATATAGTATAAGTAGTTGGCTTATTTTTTCATTTGATATTTTTTTTATTGAGATATTCATTTTTTTAGAGCCGCAGATTATCTAGTAATAGTAAACGTTTAATTTCAGTATAAATATATGCTGAGCCAGAATCTTCTTGAAATTTGAATTGTTGCCTCTCAGAAAAATAACAGAATTTTGTTATTAAAAGGGTACAAGTACTTCTGATATTTTCTGTTTTATTTTTATGTTTTATTCCTTTTGGTACACACCAAACATATGAGAAGTTCCATTTCTTAGTGTATAAGCTTTGTGCTTTGGCTGTTACATGGTTTTTTCCCCCCCCTTTGAATGCAATTTAAATCAACATAGCTATACAGTATGTGTTTTCTTCCTTATTGATGTGAGAGCAACAGAAATGCAGTGGTTAAAAATAGTGGTTGATTTTAATTTTCCAGTGATGAAGTGGACATCTGAGGCTTTCTTAAATAAATTATTATTTTGGAATTTTTGCATAATTGTTTTATGTAGACAGGTTTTGGATATAAAACACTTGATAGTTAATTTAATAATTAAATGCCTTGTAAGGTAATAATAAGTGGGCTGCAATATTTTATATGACAGATGTTTGGACCCCATATTGTCCACAGTCATACCTGCCAGCCCTTTTGAAGAAGATCTCAGGTTTCTACACACTTGAGTTACACTGAGATAATTGACGAGTCTTTTCATTTGTAGTGTATTTTTAAAAAATTTTCATAGGTGTCCAAAGCATAAAATGAGTACTTTTTATTGTAGTTTCATACAGATGTGAATAAATAAATATCTTTGAGATACAGAGATTTACATTCACTTTTCTCTGCCTCCTCTTACTTCAGTTTTGTTACATGCTAATCATTTCAGCAGGCTCATAAGGTAACCGTGTACACATTTACACTTTCACATCCCCAAGCAGCAGTAATTGTCAAAGATGTGCCTCAAGGATCCACTAGTTTGGAAAGAGAGTCCATCTCTGGTATGATAGTGTACTTTTTAACATGCTATTAGCTTAGGAACTGGAGGTTTTCAATATTTGTTGTTTAACCTTATGACTGTCCTAAAGACTTTGAGTGCTATGGAAGCTTTGCTTTGGGTTTTACAGAGATAGAATTCCTCCATCTTCTGTGCAGTCTGGTTGGTGTTTCTACCTTATGCTGTCATAACAAAAGACACTAAGTATTTCAGAATATGGTATTTCAATAGGCAGAAGCATGTAATATATATTCAACAAAGCTAAATAATTTCTGTCAAGGAAGACAAAACATTACATTACAAATTATATTATAACATTTTAAATTATGCAAATGTTTCTTTTTAAAATTTCGTATTCTAAATAATTTACTCTATTCTCCCTCTCAATAATTAAACCCTCTCAGTCAGTTGTAGTCTCTCATTAATTATTCACCATTGCCCTTCATTTGTAATGGGCAGTAGCTGGTGCTGTTTGTCGCGTATCTTGATTAGTGTCAAGCTGCAAACTTGTATTGCTGTTGGAATTATAGCTAAAACACAAGTGATTGTGTGAAATCTTTTACAAATGTAGATTGTGCACTTTACGTAGGCACTTGTAAAATTTGAGGTGCCATTTTCAAATTTGAAACCTAATTGCCATGTTTAGTTAATTTATTTTAGGTTCCTATTTAGGTTTAGGCCACAGATATAATTTATAGTATATTAAATGTTTTAAATATTAAAGATGTAAAATCACATTTAAACGTTTACTGTATAAAAATTGTGTGAACTGACATATTATAGTACCTTAAATACAGGTTTGTTTCTCTGAGAGAGGGAGGTGGTCTAATATTAAACAGCATTTCACAAATGCAGATAGCACTGCACAGCCATTCTTTCAGACTTGCAGTCATTGTTGCAAATGAACTGAAGGGTTTTGCTGGTCTCTGACACTATAGTATTGTTTTTAATTAAGCACAAGTTTATTTTCAGTAATTGTGAAATGTTAGCATATTGAGCTACTTGTTTATTTTCCTAACAATCATGCAGCCTCAAACTCATAATCTATTATACTCTAAATAATAACATTATTTTTAGGGCAAAGTAGTTTTTTCAAAATAAATGCTTTTTTACTTTTAAACTCTGCTGCAATCCTTTTACATTGTAGTTTTTTCAAAATAAATGCTTTTTTTACTTTTAAAAATAAAAGCTATTGCACCTTACTTTTGCCAGAAGGAACTGTTTATTTTCTTCACCGCTTTAATGCTGTTGAGCTGTGTTGAAACACTATGTCTTTTAAGTGAGTATCATCACAGTTGGAGACAGTATAAAATGAAAAGCTAAGATGGTTGAGTATAGACTACAGTACATATGAAAATAGACTAGTACATAACCAACAAGTATTAGTGTGTCCAATAGATCTTTGGTACTGATTTCTTCTTGCAGCCCTGTTTTCTACAGCCATAATCAGCTGCTCAGTTACACCATCTCCAAGGTTGTGGAAATCACACAACAACTCTGCTGCAATCCTTTTACATGTTTTTACTTGTTTACTTTTTTATGGGCACTATGCATCTCTTTCTGGCTACAAACACAATTAGCAAGTTACCAGTCAAAAATTGTACTCACGCCGTCTTGAAGTATGAATGTCAGTGATACTGAAGCTGAACCACCTTTGGAGGCCATCTTCCGTTTCTTTTTGTGTGTAACTGAGCACAAACCTTATTTTAGGAGCTTAATCCCACTACATTCAAATCAATGATAGCCTTCAGTGGTACACAGTTGAATTCTAGGAGAATTAAAATGTACACAATTCAGGATGTCCTAGAGCTACTTGCACTTTAGTGTCAATATAGAAATATCCATAAATCATTAACTGATAAATATTAAACTTTCTAAAGATATAGCTTCTATTTTATAGTTCTTTGAATCTTCACAGCAAGGTTGAATCACAGTTACTATAATGGTGCTGAACGCAGTTTGAGCTTGTCTAAGCTTGCATCTGAACTATGTTCATCACAAATTTATTTGCACCAATTAGTGGACCTCATTGTCAGCAATAGGACATTTTAGTAGTATAGAATTGTCAGTAATTAAGTGTCAGTCACTGACCATGATTTCATAACTTTTCTTGACACCTTGTTTCATTACATAGCTATTCTAATAACAAATTTTTATTTTCCCTACTGCTTGACTTTCTAAATTTTCTTACTGAAGTCAATTGTATAGTCCAATCAAGTATTTACCTTGAATTTTAGAAGCCTATTGCATTGTTAATTCATGTTCACTTTATTGTCCATTACATATCCCAGTTTGTGGTATTATTCTAAATTAATATTTCTTATATGCACCACAGGGGAACAATTACTCTCAGTGTTATAAGTAGACCATTCGTTGGGAAAAGTAATTACATAATTTAGATTACGGTACACATATTTTAGTTTTGTATTGTTGGGCTACAGGTTGAACCTCTCTGATCCGGTACTCTCTGGTTTGGCAACATCCATTGTCTGGCATGATGTTAAGTAGCTGACAGTTCTCTTATCATAGGTGTGGCCAAGTTTCCTGCAACCTCATAAAGTTCTGTCTCTAAGTGTTTCGTGCTGTTGTTTAGCTCTAATTTACCCCTAAATGTCTTCTAAGAGCCCAATAAGTGAAAATTTGGTAATACTACTGGACAGTATTGACCTCCCATGGTCTGACACATTTTCTGGTTTGCATTGGTCAGGTCCCGGGTGCCGGACTGGAGAGGTTCAATCTGTATTAGAAAATCATGTATTTATTTTTAATTGCACAGAATAAAATTGTCAAAAATGGGTATAGTGGTTAACACTCACCTGAGGTGATTAGGGAGAAGTCAACTGCTTGTTTCTCTGGGTACAAAGCAAATAGAATGGTAGAGCATTGTGTGTGCGCGACTGCACACGAATATGTATGTAAAAGTTCCTGTTAGTTCATATGTCCTCCTGACTTCACCTCCATTCCTAACCTCTGTTCCTGGCTTTGTTGCTGCAGAAAATTACTGCTGCATTTCTGTTTTGATATTAGATGAATTATCTTTGTACATACATTCTTTAAAGTTCTTTAAGATCAAAAGTGTTTTATAAATTAGATTATTTTAAAAAAAAACACAATCTACTGTTTTTCATAGGAAGAAGGCCAAGATCAAGATACTGTAGCTGAAGAAAATTTGGCGTGGAGGTTTCTTTCTTTTTCCCAGATTAGTGTTTTGTTGGAACAAAATATAGAAGGAGTTCAAAAGTAAGTAACTAATATATAAAAAATGTACCTAATGCTGGTGCTTATGATTTGGTGGAAGAAAACTTGTGTGGTTTATCAGCTGAGGGTTTTTGCTGAAGATATCAAACTTGATAACTGTGATATTGATCATTTGGCGTGGTCTTAATTTCATAAAAACCTGCTAAATCCAATTCTGTAGCTGATAGAAAATAGTGAACTGACCACTATCTAAATAGATTGTGCATTGTGATATTAATTCATGATTTAATTGAAATTAAAAATATCATTTTCAAAAGAAATGAACAGTACTAATACTCTGTGCAAGACAATTATTTTTATATAGTTGGTTAGATTAATTCCACCAGCATTGTAGTACAGTATTGATTTACGTATGACATTTTTTGAAGACTTCTGTGCTAAATGAATGTTGATCTAACCCAATTTTTGGGACACTTGTGAACAGTGGCAATAATGGTGTAAAGAATAAAAGGTGTTGGTCTCAGAATGTACTCTTCTCCTATAATCTCTCCATGTTTTCATTTTTCTCTTTTGCTCATTTTCTTCAAAGGGATATTTTTGGTTGATACATTTTTGAATACTTGATATATTTATATTTTATAGCAGGTGTGATTTGTTTCAAAGGGATCAGTGTGTTGTCTTAACTGCTCCCCTTGTAGGTAATAGTGTCTAAAGTAGAAAAAATAGATAAGTTTGGATATAATAAAAACTGACCCTTAGGAAAGTGGCAAAAAACTTCATATAAAATATCTAAGTTCTTAAGGATTTAAGATGAAAGTTTAGGCATTCACAGTTTGAAGTATTGTCATTCAGTTTCAAGTGTGAAATTTTCAAAAGTTCCTACGTGATTTAGGAGCACATATCCCATTGAAAAGTCACCTTGTAGTAACTTCTTACCAAGCTAAATTTAATGGAACTTATGCTCTAAAGTTACTTAGATGCTTTGGAAAATGCTGCTGTTAGTGGATAAATACAAATGTTTTTAGGTAAAATAAAAAAGATATGGATCATTTCCTTGAAATAGATATATTTTTTTGGTTAGGAAAAATATTGATGTAGTGGAATTTCATAGAGAAACTGGAAAGATTTTTTTTCCATCTAATATTAAAATGATGTTTTTATTTACTCTTTTATACTGCACTGTAGCTCTCCAACTTAAGGCATTAGAAACTAAAACATACACATCAATTGAGATGAAATTTCATTATCACCCTGTAACACAATTTCTTGCAGAATCTCTCATCTAAGATTAGAAAGGAAAATAGAGAGAGACCTTTGTTTTTCTCTTATCTCAGCTGATATATATATTTTCACAGATAGATCTTAAATTATATGTGCTGCATTTGACTGAAAAGAGGATGCTTCAAGGGCATTTTAGGTATCACAAACAATTTAGTACCAGTATTGAAACATCTGTAGCTCACCATAGGACATAATATTTATGTACTGTAAAGTTTCCTTGCCACTGCTGGAGAAACAATACAGTGCTAGATGGATCGTGCTTTTGATGTGTTGAAGTAATTTCTTAGTTCAGTCTATTGATCTACAGATTTTATACTGCTTCCCATCACTATAGTACTTGAGCTCCTTCCATGAAAAAATAGCAGTAGTAATAATAGAAGATATATGAAGAATTTATTGTTTTTCCAATCATTCTTGTGTGTAATTGTCAGTCACATAAATTCAAAACATTTAAAAAATGAATCAGAAAAGCCTAATTCCCTTTGATACAGTGATTGAGAAACCATGAAGTTGGCAGAAGCTTGGAAGACAGAGGTTTCAAACTTTGAAAAGTTCATAGTTGGCCGCACTCCATCTCCATTTCAGTCCATGACTAAGACCATGTCTACACTACGAGATAAGGTCAAATTTAATATGGTCAGTTTCTGGCCACCCAATTTTGCAAAGTCAAAGGCCCATGTCCTTACTATGGCTAAGAACCCAATATAGTCCAAAGTTGCATGTCCCCATTAGAGAGCCTACCATTGGCTCAGAGAGCAAAGCACCATGGGTAGCTTTGCATTCTGGGCTATGCTCCCAATGCCCATTAGGACCAAAACTCTGCAGTGTGTGTTTATGGGTTCATGTTGTCAGCATCCCATAATGCACTTGTTTAGTCTCTTCCCCGCCCCCCGCACTCTTTTGCTTGAGATCAATGGGAATTAGTCTTTTTACGCCTAAAAGGTTTGCCCTGGTTTCCCGCGCAGATGCCATAGCAGCATGAGCGTGGTTTCTGTTTTGCAGCAACCCATTGTGATACTGATGGTTGCTTTGGTGTGCCTAATTGCCACAATACTTTGAGAGCAGGGTGAGGAGGAGGATGAATCTCAGCTTAGCATGGAGTCACTGCTCATGCAAGCCCTGGCACTAATGCAAGCACAGCTGCCAGTCAATCCTGTAGAAAAGATGGTATCCCAGTTCTGGCACCGTGAGACAAGCACAGACTGATGGGACCGCATTATGATGCAGAGATGGGACGATCAGAAGTGGCTGCAAAACTTCTGAATGCGCAAGGCCACTTTCTTGGAACTTTGCAAATGGCTTTCCTCTGCCTTGAAGTGCCAGAATACTTGAATGAGATCTGCTCTAACTGTGGAGAAGCACGTGGCAATAACCCTCTGGAAGCTTGCAATCCTAGACAGCTACCGTTCAGTAGGAAATCAGTTCAGAGTAGGGAAATCTGCAGTGGGGGCTGTTGATATACAAGTAGCCAAGGCGATCAATAACATTTTGTGACTCTGGGAAATGTGGATTCCAAGTGTGTGGCTTTGCAGCATTGGGGTTCCCTAAAGAGACTGTTGTTCAGAGAACAGGTGTTTTTATTGAGGGGAAAACATCAGGAAAATGAAAGAAGTGGGAACCCAAAGGAGGGAGGGGGGCTCAGCCTTTTAAGGTCCGGGAGGGAAAAGGCTGCCCTTGAATCCCCCCCCTCCCTCACAACCTCTGTGTCCAGGGGCCTAGACGGACCCCAGGGGATGGAAGCAATGGAGCTGGGGGATGAGGGACAGGTATTCTGATTGGGGCAGACAGGCTCTGGGAAATGTTCTGTGAGGATGCCCTCTCCAGGCATGAAGCCAGGTGCTCCGTCACTGTCATGAGTGAGGCAAAGATGCTCTGTTGGAGTATGTCTACACTACAAAGTTAATTCGAACTAACAGACGTTAGTTCGAATTAACTTTGATAGGTGCTACACAGGCAAACCGCTAGTTCGAACTTAATTCGAACTAGCGGAGCGCTTAATTCGAACTAGGTAAACCTCATTCTACGAGGACTAACGCCTAGTTCAAATTAAGTAGTTCAAATTAAGGGCTGTGTAGCCACTTAATTCGAATTAGTGGGAGGCTAGCCCTCCCCAGCTTTCCCTGGTGGCCACTCTGGGCACCACCAGGGAAACTCATCTGCCCCCCTCCTGGCCCCGGAGCCCTTAAAGTGGCACAGTCTGGCTACGGTGCCTGTGCCAGGTGCAAGTTTGCCAGCACCCAGCCAGCAGACCCTGCACCTGGCACGGCACGAACCAGCCACCCCC